GTCTTAGAATAATTATATCATATACTTATATCATACACAATACTACACAATGAAGTAAAATATATTTTGACTTACTGTTTCCTAAATTTGTAATGATAATATATATTAAATGCCTATAAGTGATATATTTTATAAGCATTTAATTATAATCTGTAACTTAAATTTCCTTCTAAAATTAAAGTTACATATTTTAAAAGAAAACATTATAAATGTTGCTGTCACTTTTACGGTGACTTATGAACAGAATGATGACGAACAAATGATTAATATAGTAGATAGTAAGTTTGTACATCACATAGACTGATTATAATAATAATTCTGTTTTTAAGAATTCTGTCAGAGAACATAATGTACCTAAAAATTTTGTTCTTTACATCTGTCCCAAGTGGTTACATCTTATAATGTTTGATCTAATTGGATACAAATTAAGGATACCTTTCCATTTCTAGGATAAGAAAATACTTTAAGTATATAATTTGTATACTTTTCTATGTAAAATTTATGTTATGGTGAAACATTATCAAATAGGTCTTTAAAAAAAAATTATCAATCACTTTTAGTAATAAAGTTAAGTTTAGAAAACATGCTGTGTTATCCGTCCACCCCAACAAAGTCTTTAAAATGATGAAAGAAGAACCTGCAAAAATATGGAAAAAAATTACTAAATTTAAAAAATAAATAAATGGGGAAAGACACTGCATGGCAGAATCCTTCTTTACACATCAAATTTTTTGTAAAGTTTAATTATTTAAAATATTCCAAATCTTTACTAAAAAGGTGCTTAAATTTTATTTTAAATGATAAAAAAGACTGAGTATTAAGTTGACAAAGTAGCATCAAAACAATAAAAAGGAGAAATAATAATTTAAAGTGCCATAAAACCAATTGTTTAATGTTTATTGATTACCAATGTTTTCATTTAAACATAATATTATTACAGTTCCAATTTTACTGTCATTAAAATTAAAATGACGGTTTCTTACTGATTTTTTAATCACTACAACCATTTGCCTTGATTTGTTGTTGTAAACCTTTTTTTATAATTTTTTATCAGTATTAATTCAATTTCTAGTAAACAATTTATTTTAGAGGACAGATTATATGAAAATTGTATTAAATAGGTTCTTTTGACATTGAGTTTCTGAATTTTTTATACCTATCATGTAAGATAAGAAAATGATGCTCAAATATATCAAATGTAATTTTTCCCATATACTATTCCATACTTTGGTATCAACTTCGAAAAAACTGTATTTTCCATTTAGGCACTTTAATATCTCTTGATATTAAAGTGCCTTAATATCTCTTGATTAGTTTAGTTAGTTTAGTTTACGACGGGCTGTTTTCCGCAACTCCACGTCTAAGCGCGTATTTTACGTGTGGGCAGGAATAATATGCTTATTCGAGCCATGATATCTCCCCGAAGAAGGTCAGCAGTCCCTCAATGTTGCAAGCAACTTCGGGGAGCGATCCCGGCATGCCGAGATGTTTAGCCCTGTATGAAGCGGGACATGTCAGCAACACGTGAGCCGCCGTTTCTTCCTCTCCCATGCATGCCATGCACAGGGGGCTGTCAGTAACACCTATGGTGAACAAATGTTTGTTAAAAGAGCCATGTCCTGTGATAGCATTTGTTACTATCCTGATCTGTGGCTTGTTCAGTCTCATTAGAACCTTGGTTAGACGACTGTTTATTTCAGGTAGGGCCTCCCTAGCTTGTCTACAGTCTACAAAATTTTTCCAAAGCTGAGCGTGTAAATTATTGAAGTATCTATGTACCAGTGAATGAACGTAGCCAAATATCTCTTGATTTAAAGTGCCTTAATGAAACATGTAAACACAGAAACGCTATACGCATACGCATGCTATATTCCCACATTGAATTTAATCTGCAGCAAATTTGTATGCTGTAAATTTCTATTTTGTTTCTTTTAATATTATAAGACAGTGTTTAACTACTATTTGATATGTATGTATGCACACTGACTTAGCTTAACAAAAGACTATTCACTATTGCCTTGAAGACACTCACATTATAATCAGAAGGAAAGACAAATGTCCAAAATGAGAACACAGACTCGGATAGAAGTCCAAAACCGCTAGGTTTAGTTTTGTAGCACCAGCCTGTATATTGCAGCAATATTCCATGTACAACCAGACTAGCACTTTATATACGAGTAGTGTAAGCAACTTTCCCAGTGTGAAGTATTCCACACCTTTGCAAGGACATCTAACTTGCACATGTTTTGGCTCTGGACGCAATGAACCATCTAAAGTTCGCCTTCGAAGAAACCTCGACCTCCAACAATCCTCCAAAGTGAATGGTGAATACCTATGATACATTTCGGAAAGGAGCCTTGGTAAGCTGGCTTTTTTTCGCCGTGAAAAGATATGTTTGTATTTTGGACTGCTTGTAATAGCTTCTTTTTCGGACTGGATTTGATCACTACTGTTCCGAGCATCCAGCTGATATCTTTCCACAAATATGCTGTCATCTGCATACCCATAAATACCGGGAATAAGCAGGTCATGATATGCATCAGGAAGAGATTTGCGTAGAGAACAGAATCTTAAGGAACACCGGCAGTAGTTGTAATAGACTTGAAAGAGCAACCTTCGACAACAACTCGAAGGGAACATCACCTAAAAAGTCCTTCAGACAGTTGTTCAAACTTGTACAAGCCGTGCGCTGAAACCTGCGCCTAAGCGTGCCAGACTCTGTCAAAGGCTTTCGAGACATCAAGGGAAACAGCAATTGCTTCCCCATTTCCTGTACTTATAGGAGAGTTTCTATACTCTTTGTTCCTAAAGCCTCGCACCATGTGTGTGGCACACGTTAGAAGGTCCCCGTTTCGTGGTGTCAACCGATTATGGCAGAACCATAATGCCTGTTGCTGAGGTCGTTCTGCTTCAAGTGTGCCGATAGGGTTGAGGTTGGAGGTAGTTGAGATTGGCCGATTAAATAGCAGCGCCACCACAAGTACCTACCATTTTTGGAACAGGGTGCGTATTAACCAGCTTCGAGGATTTTGAGTTGAGATGAAAATAACGCGTTACATTGGATGCTGTAGTTGCGTAAGTTAGTTGCTTCTGTTTTTTGTAAATCAATAAATATAAATAAAATTGACGCGTCTGTCTACATAAAATAATAAAGTAAATGTTTATTAATGGCTATTTTAAAGATTTAAATGACGCTACCTTAACATATTCTACTCAGGCAAAGCCGGGGCAGGTCAGTAGTCAGATAATACAATAACCAAACATCTATATAATCTTCAAATCATGGAAGTTAGCAATGCCTACATGATATTGATTGCCTTAAACGGCGGAAAGGGCGTTTAGAAAACATTTGCACCACACCTCATGCAAAAAAAAATGTAGCAAGTGTTGTCAAATGCACATAATACGTTGGGTATAATATTTAATGGTGTATGTTTGTTTGCAACCATAATAGAGGTTCTACTTTCCTTTCCCCTTATCGTCCCTTGTATACATACATATACGTCGCGCCTGTAACCCGGAGGAGGTAGGCAGTCTAAACTATGAGCTACACAAAGCAAGCTTAGCCAAAAAATATGGGTATACATAGAAATTTTTTAAAGAAGACATGGGTGGCTCAACTTAACCTCATAAACCCCATTAGTCGCCTTTCACAATATGCAAGTAACACCATGTTGGTATGGGACTTGTAGGTCCCACATTTATGTTCTTATTTAAAGAAATTGAATGTGGCAACTGAGTTACTAAATTTATATTTTACTAATGTACTCTATGAGGTATAACGCCACCATTGCACCAGTGTAGCTACATTAACTTTTTGATGATTTAATTTGAGGATAATCAAGATTTGTTGGCGCATCCTGTTGTACTTTCCGACAGATTAATATTTGTTTTGTTTGCGGTCTTTAAAGTTATTAAGTGTTACAAATAAAAAGACAAAAGATTATTAAAAATTTATTAGCCATTTTTAAGGTATCAAAATATGGCGAGAATTAATTTAATCATATCAAAACGTTCATTACACACTGGAAGAACATTCAAATGCTATTTATAATTACCTAATTTAAATTACAAAATATATAATTGAGAAAATAGAAGGCGACTATAAGTGAAAATATCCAGTCTACTTTATTACAAAATCTCTCACACACATTCCATAGTTGAAAGTAACGAAATTATCACCATATTTTTATATGGAAAAAATAAATCTTTTAAGAAATCAGCTTGAGATTAAACTCTTACTAGATCAATAACGTTGACATTTTCGATATGTTAATATATTAGTAGAATTACAAATTTAATATCTATCGTCTTTAATGGAACATCCACTAACATTAAAATTGTTGTATTATGTTTATGTATTATAATACTTTATATAAAAATTTTAGCTAAATGCAAGCCTTTCAAGTTACTTAAATAAAATGTATAAGATTTAGAAAACAAAAATAATTTAGAAAGTTAGTTTTAAAAAATGTAAACATTGGGGAAAGTAAATTTTAAAAGTGCTTATTTAACACTTTAACTGTCCGATGTTCAGACACGATAGTAACACAATAGCAATGAACTAATATGTAGTACAATAGACAGTGCATGGTCTAGGCCAAATCTATATGTACAAAAATCAATTGGTGTCCATTAGTCACGATAAAACAAAAATGGTTCGACCGATTTTGATTAAATTTTTTGTGTTTGGTTTGTGTGAGTAGATAGTTAAGATTCACATTCGAACCCGGTAGATGGCGGTGTTGTCGAGATCCAGAAATCACCCGTGCGAAGCCAGAGCGGATCGTTAATATTTCATAAAATTGAGTGGGAACATAAAATTAATTGAAAGTATTGGGCTATTTGTAACTTATAACTATAGTGATGTTTGATATTTTTATTATCTGACAATTTATGATATTAACATGTTCAAATAAAACATCTTGGAACTGTGTTTACCGACGTACACCACTCTTCGGCAGCAGTCTTAGATTAAGTACACACACACTCTTATTTACTTATAATTCATCCTTCTCCAGATCGACATCTGACAGGTCGATATCTTCTTCAGGTGGTAGTTCACCATCCTTACCATCCCAAGGTTCAGTGGTGACAATCTTGGGCATTTCTGCACCTTTGACTGGAGCTGTTTGACCACGACCGAAGGAAAGGTCCCTGTAATAATCACGATCTTAGTAACTTATTCTAAACAAGTAGTAATAAAGGTTCTATCATTAAAAGCAAATAGTTGGAAAAAGAGAAGTAGTTACCAGTTAGCCACACCATTATAAAAAGGATAGTATACTTGATACTATGGAAGAAAAAACAATCACTAATCTGCCTGCAATTGATATATGATAGTTACGGAGAAACCTTATGTACAAAATTACCATTGTTAACGTCACAGCCTAAGTCCACTGCTGAGCACAGACCTTTCCCAAAGATTGCCTTATAGCGCTATATATGCTATAGTTGCCATGCTTGGCAAGTGGGTTGGCAAACGCAGTTTTTTAATTTTCAATCATTATTAGGAAGACGCTACTCCGTGTCATCTCCTAATTAGTTTCCCTCTGTCGCCTCTTGTAACATAGGATAATAAGGGGAAGTGGATATTCTTACACCATCACTACACAGTTAATGTACCTAATAAGCATATTATTAATTTATGCGGATATTATTAATTTTAGAGAATAGGAATATGAAATATATCAATAATAATAAAATATAAATAATCAGTTATTTCAAATAATAATAAATGTAATAAGAAACAAATACCTGAGGAACTCATTAATGCCAGATTCTGAGAATGAACCTCGAAGAGTAGAGAATTTCAATTTCTTAGCATTGACTACTGCCATTGCGGGGTAACCAAAGCCTCCTAATTCAAGAGCTTCTTCTAATGCCAGTTGTGCACCTGCTTCGGTCCAAACCCATCTGAAATAGGATCATTAAGTGTTTTAATGTTCACATTAGGTGCTAAAAAATAAAGACCCTCTTAAATTTAGTCCTAATTTGCATAGAAGCCTCTTTGGAACACCCAAGATAAATCTGTTAGATTAACCCATAGAAATATATAAGTGATTGATACCTTCTGATGGAGAAAAGGAATCCATATTACCTATTTATTATTTGGGTGATTTATTATTTACTAGGTTGAGTAAAAGTTTGAGAAATCTTACCACATGACCAATAATATTGATATTTGATATATTAACAAATAGTACATTTGCTTGCTTGTTCAGAATAAATTATTTGTAAAGATTTGAACAACTTACCCCCACATCTTGTTTTTGTATTTTTCACCTAGACGAGTCAATATTGAAATGTATTCATTGCGGCAAGCGGCATTGCAGTCCAAAATGTGAGGTAAAATAGATACTACACACAAAGGTTTTTCACTGCAAGCCTTCATTGTTTCTTCATTTACTACCTGTGAAAAATAAATAAATTATTCAATGAAATAGAGAGAACAAGGAATAACTTACACATTAATTGTGGTATGTGCAAATTAGGACACACATAAGGGTGAATTCAGCTGTGTGGTGACCGCACACTTCACAATGCTTTTGAAACTGGATATAAATATTACTTATTTTAAAATATTTTAAACTACCTATTCAATGAAATCCCAAATAATAGCAAAAGTCCTCCGATACACATAGTATATTTAGATAGACTTAGATACCTTAGTACTGAAATGATATATCATTAATTTTTTCTGATTAGATCAAAAACTAAACATTGTTTGCTGTGTGATAAATTCCATTTAATACTTTTTAAATAAAAAGCCTAAATTACTACAAAAAATTTGCAGGGTTAGAATTTGAAGCAGCCATATTATATTTTTTTAATCTGTTATATTACCACAATTAATGATTACATTTACATTATTGTAAATATATATAATTTGTGAAGTACTCATTGTAATGATACCTTGGTATTACTAAATCTGTGTGCGATAACTTGAAACTTAAGAGTTTTTGACACGTTTTCTTATCGCCGTTGACTTAAATTGTATGCAAATATAACCAGTATCCCTGGAGGACACTAATGGAACTATGTTTTGTCATACAAAGTCAATTTGATACAACTTATGCTCAGTGGGACAGAGTATGGTGATATCACAGACTGTAAAAATTATGTTGTTCAACATACAACCCGGAAGAAATAATACAAGAAGGAAGAGGGAAAATGCGTAACAGGTGGGGAATCACATTCCACGCGGGTGTAGAGTTATCGCGTATGGGTAGTAATGAATAATATACAATCATCACAGTTTTTGCAGTGTATTTGTAACAGTACATGTTATAAATGTAATATTTTTTACGAGCAACACAATCTACATCGGTAATTCAATTTCCATTATATTTCGTCACATGGTTTTATAGACGGTAAACAGAGTAAAATAGAAATATTTGATTTGAAAATGATTTCGCTTCCGTAGTTATTAACAAATTATTATAAAAGTGGCTATTTCATTAATAATATCACATAGATATATATTTCTAGCTGTATTTTGTTACATGAGTGGGAAATTCTTAAAATATTTATTAAAATATAAAGTTTAAGAGTATCGGTGACACAGAGTTTATTTTTAAAGTAAAAACGTAGCACCCACAAATAACAATTTAAAAGAAAAAATGTTATAAAGTTATTTTTTTAAATACTAAAGGAAAGAACAAGGTACAGCTCATTGTAAGTGGCTACAGTAACCAGTGAACATGTACAATTTTAAACAGAAAAAGCTACAGATATTTTGTCACTCCTGAGGAAGTGATATACTACTGATAAGTGATAGAAACTGAGATGGAAGGGCTTTCATTATTTCACAGCCTTTAATAATACTAGCCTTTTGTATTCATGTATAAAACATGAATACAAAAGTAGGTACAGTACTCTTCAGTGATAATAAAGGTAAGAAGGTGACATCTGATTTGCACTATCTGACAGACTCCTGGGCAGAAAAGACTAAAAAAGAAAAGGATCCCTCTTAACTTGTAAAGATTAATAAGAATAGTTTACTAATAGTGAATTCAATAATTTAAGTGCCAATAGCCTATACAGTTTAGGTGTGCTTTGTGAATATTTTTATTTAATAACATATTTACAAAATCTTATTACTAGCCTGTATGTAATACTGTTCACTCAACTTAGTTGTTTAGTTTGAATTATACAATTTAGATAAAATGGTAAGACACATTTTTTTTTCATGTTCAACAAATCTAAAATTTATTCTATTGTTATTTTAAAGCACACCTTACCTGCACAATCTCTGGTGGAGCAATGTTCTCAGCAACTTTCTCAAGAGCCCATGCTACAATATCGCTGGCAGTCCTGCCGCCATTATAGTCTTCTACAGAATCACTTGTCTTCTTGCCAGCAGGGAACATCTTGATCGTGGGATAGCCTTGTACTTGGTAGCGGGAGGCCATTACTTGATGTACTGTTGCATCTAAAGCTCCTAATTTAACCTGTATGTGTAATTTAATACTGTAAACATAGTACGAACAAAAGCAAATAATAGAAAGTAATGTAAGCATTTTGTGTATAGCTAAGTAGTTATATCATCTTAATATATATAAATTACGAGTCACGTTGTTGTTGACTCCTAAACTACTTAACTGACTTTAATCAAATTTGCACACCATGTGCAGTTTGGCCCAACTTGAGAGATAGGGTAGTTTTTTGCCCATGAGTAACCCACAATTTTTTTTGCGAATTTAAGGGTTTTTAATAGGACATGACAAAAGGTTATCGAAAAGGGCATAACAATGTCTGCCTGGCAAACTAGTTATCTATATATCTTGGGGTACAAAGTCCGTATGTAAATGCAACTATGGTACAGAGCAGCATATATTTGAAAATTTAAACTATTTTGACTCATTCCGCATCAAGAGACCATATTATACTCTCTAAACAAGCTTGTTTATTTATGCACTTGTGGCACTTTAAAATGTTTTACATAACACATATTAATAGTATGCCATATTATTTAAAATGTTCCCTATTCCACATATTAATAGTACCCATCATCATCGGAGAATGAGAGCCAAATCTTCCTAATAACAGAAACAGATTAATTGTAAACAATAATAAAAACTGCACTTACTGAACTGCCGTGGCAGCTATGCATATGGCATTTTACTACACATAATATGCAATAACAGCATAAAAATAGGTTGAAAATAAAAATATTATGATATATGACATATACAATGTGTCCGGTTTCCGATGTCCGATACTTTAAGGGGTTAAAATACAATTAATTTTATCGACAAATCAGGGATCAATGATTTTTTTTCGCCAACAATAAAAAAATGGCAGCACTTTAAAAAAAATTGTTCGCGAAGCATAGATGCTTGTATTAATTTAACAATATCTACCCAAGTAGAAGACTTTCAAAAACAAAATTGGTCTCAAATGTTAGTTAATAGTGTAGACAATAAATCTAGATTCAAAATATTATTTTTTAATTTTTCAGTATTAGTAAAAAACACTTTTGAAAAAATAAATTAGACAACAAATTGATGTTGTTTTTCAGATTCTTAGCTTTAAAAAAAAACCATCGTGTTAACCAATTTTTTTTACTTATTTTTATTATAATACAGGATATTTGCTATAAATGCACATTTAAATCTTAACTCTGAGTTAGATAGTTTAGGAGTTATAGATAATTTGAATGTAACTGTTCAAAGTGCCTCTACCCCGATATTAGATAACTAAACACCCATTCCAGTGAGTAAGATAAAATTCTTCAATAATTCAAGGAATCGTAAGCAAGCACAATAGCATCCTTTGTGTGAGCAGGTAAAAAACGCTGTGCACAACAGTGCGAGCGGGACAGAATAACGGCTGTCTCCATGTAAAAAGGGTGCAGTGTGCGCTTGTGCCGTCGAGCAGTCGTCCCTCGCTCTGCGTTGTGATAACATTCCTGGTTTTAAGTAAATCTACTTACTGTACATAATTATTGTTTGTTGTTAGACTTTGTTACGTTTTTGTTTTGTTGTTGAACTGTTACTTTTTGTTTATTACAATGAACGAGTACTCAAGCCAGCATATCGCTGACATCCATTTCGTGTATGGATTGTGTAACGGGAGTGCAAATAGAGCTGTTGTAGAGTATGCACGCAGATTTCCTAACAGACGTACGCCGAATGCTCGCACTTTGGTGAGAATTCATTTGAGACTTGCGGAAAATGGAATAAGAAGGCTCGGTAACGAACGTACTCGTGTTTTGTCACTCCAAGATGAACATCAAATATTGCAAATGATTACTCAAGACCCTAGCCTGAGCATTAGACGCATAGCTAATCGTCTCAGTCTATCAAAATGGTCGGTGTGGAAAATTTTAAAAAGAGAAGGATTACATCCTTACCATTTTCGAAGGGTGCAAGAAATACTGGAACCGGATTATGTAAGAAGAGCAATATTTTGTTCGTGGATATTGAGAGAAACGCGATATGATCCAAACTTTTTATAAAGAATTATGTGGACAGACGAAGCTACTTTCACGCGATCAGGGTATACGAACTACCGTAACGAACACCTGTGGCTTCAAGAAAATCCACATGCGATCCGCCCAAGTTCTTTTCAACATAAATTTTCTGTCAACGTTTGGGCCGGAATGATTGACGACATTCTAATTGGACCAATCATTTTACCGGAGACAATGAATAGCCCAAGATTCCTAAATTTCCTGGAAACGAATTTTTTGGATGCTTTATTGGAGTTAACATTGGCCTACAGGGCCAGAATGATTCTGCAATTGGATGGTACTCCGGCACACTTCGCGCTTCTTGTGCGGAATCATTTAAATGCACACTATTCGTCGTGGATCGGACGCGGAGGAACAATTGCTTGGCCACCGCAGTCGCCGGATTTAACACCTCTCGATTTTTTTTTGTGGGGCACACTCAAACGAAGAGTGTATGTAAATGGGCCAAATACACGAGAGGAGTTAGCAGAAAAAATAATTCAAGCAGCAAACGAATTGCGAGAAGACAAGGCAATGATCCAGCGCTCTACGCAACACGTTGCACTAAGAGCAACAGCATGTCTGCAGAGACAAGGAGGTCACTTTGAGCAGTTTTTGTAATTATTTTGCCAAATTAAATGCAATTGATATAAATTATTTTGTTTTATTTCATTTGCTAGTGTATCCGCGCTTTTCAAGTAAGTATGTTTACACTGTCATAGCTCCTAAACTATCTAACTCAGAGTTAAGATTTAAATGTGCATTTATAGCAAATATCCTGTATTATAATAAAAACAAGTAAAAAAAAATTGGTTAACACGATGGTTTTTTTTAAAGCTAAGAATCTGAAAAACAACATCAATTTTTTGTCTAATTTATTTTTTCAAAAAATGTTTTTTACTAATACTGAAAAATTAAAAAATAATATTTTGAATCTAGATTTATTGTCTACACTATTAACTAACATTTGAGACCAATTTTGTTTTTGAAAGTCTTCTACTTGGGTAGATATTGTTAAATTAATACAAGCATCTATGCTTCGCGAACAATTTTTTTTAAAGTGCTGCCATTTTTTTATTGTTGGCGAAAAAAAATCATTGATCCCTGATTTGTCGATAAAATTAATTGTATTTTAACCCCTTAAAGTATCGGACATCGGAAACCGGACACATTGTATAAGGATAATAAAAATAATTATATATGTTGCTGGTTGTTAAAATTATTATATTTTTATCTTTTCTTTTTTTATTAGAGGTGATTGGTAAAAAAGTAAACAAGTTGGCTATGATATTTAACTACTTTCATTAAGATATTTAATAAATTAAATTTAATCTTTCGTACCCCTCAGAAAGAGAAGCGTCAGCCAGATGGAAGCCATCTTTTTAAAAGGAAATGGTGAATTAAATTTACATCATGAGCTTACAAACTGCTACATTATGATCACATAGATCAAGTTATACAGGTTTTTTCAATAGAAATTAATTTATTTAATAATGATCCACTAAAATATATTTCCAAATTCTGCAATACACAAATTATTTATATGCATAACTGAACATTATTTACATGCATAACAATGCGTTGTATGCACGAAACATTATATTATAATGAACATTAATAACTATATTAAATTGTGTCATTTTTCCTTCATTTTAATGTCATAATGAGATAAATTTCTAATAAAGGATTATTTAGTATGTGTTTAATTTGAAACCTAATAATTCCTGTGTAATTAATGCGTATAGTGATAACTTGTGTAAAGTGGTATTTATATATACCTAAATACTTTTTTCATACTTGATTTCCACAGGGTACAATTGGTCGTGTCAAAAAAATATCCTCAACAATTTCCTAAAATCTTAACCTCAAATTTACGATTTAATAGCATAAGTAGAATTTACTTATACTATTAAATCATTTATCAATGATCTTATTTAAACTTAATTAAAGTAAATATTCAGCTTATAGCCTACATGATTAGTAGACACTGCAATTGTACTCTTACAGCATATTCCAAACAAAGTTACAGTTGCCTCGTGTGTGCCAATGACGAAAATGTTATGCAGGATAGCCCGCAATTAGTGTTTTATAGTAAAACATACCTTTCCTTTAAGTTCCGTAGCAGCCTTGGCCCAGTGTGGCTCAAGATTCTTGCAATGTCCACACCAGGGCGCAAAGAACTCCACTAACCAAAGATCTTCACTGTCTAGCACCAGCTCTTTGAAGTTGCTATCAGTAAGTGTGATTACATCCGACTGTAAAAGTAATACATACAATAGCATATTTTGTCTAAATAATATTTACATATAGTTTTACATCACATTGGTGTAATAAAATAGTAAACAGCCTTCAAAAATTGAAAATGCTTGTTTGTATCGATAAGGAAAATTAAAATTGGATGAAGAATGGAATTGACCTTTTGGTTGCTTTTAATTTCTGAACAATTGATGTAATGGATAAATTAATCAATTAACCACAAATTCTATAATGTCAAACAATTTATAGAAAACATTTTAGAACATTCTCAATATGAAAACTTTGAAACTTAAGTAAGTATAGTACATAAGTAAGTTTCAGTGTTATTAAGTATATTTTGTACAAAAAAAAAATCATAAAGGAAAGCTAGAGTTTATATTTTAAATAAGTGTAATATACACCGAAAAATTCTATTAATTCTTGTTTTAAATAAAATATATTAGTTTCCATGCAAATCTTAATAATATAAAAAATGTCTCTTTTTTTTGTAGGTAGCAGTGAATAAAGTAACACGTTTCTTTTTTAATGTTAAACAATATATTATTAAAAAAATATAAAATAGGATATATTAATGTGTGTTACATACATGTAATAATTATATTTACCAGCTTAAATTTCCTTATATATTCTTTTCCCCGCTTTGCTGAATTATCTCTACTGAAAATAACAATGGAAACACTCTAGCAGCCATGTCAGAACTATTCAACTCTCGCATGAACGAATTTCAACAGGACTTAGAGAAGACCACTCCAACATTTGGCACAAACCCTCCAGCACTGGTAGCTGAGTTTGCAACTTTTAGGAAGTTCATCTTATCCGCTCTCAAAACAGTCCAGAAACAGGTAGAATTTCTTGGAAGAGAGATTGATCGTCTGGAGATGAGACGCCGACGTAAGATATTGCTGCTCCATGGAATTGCGGAGGATAAGACTAAGGATACATCTATACTAGTCTCTTCTCTCTTAATGGACAAACTCAAAGTTTCTGATGTTTCCCACACTTCTTTTAATAGCTGTCATCACCTTGGACGTTTATCAGGAAAGAAGCCAAGACCGATATTGGTAAAGTTTCGTGATGTTGCTGTTCGTAACCAAGTTTGGTTTTCAAAAACCAAACTCAAGGGCACAGGTGTCACAATATCCGAGTTCCTGACAAAAGACCGTCACAGGGTATTTATGGAGGCCAGGCAGAAGTTCGGCATAAGTAAATGCTGGACCAGAGATGGTTGTATCCACATTATAGCTCCTGACGGCACTCTTCACCAAGTTAAGTGCATGGCAGAGCTAGAAGCCGTACCAGTAGTTTCAGCAGCCACTTCGCAAGAACACATTTTTTTTCTTTTTATTTCACTTGTTTGTTAACATCTCCTTTATTAAAAACTAAATAAAAAGTAATAATTTAACAAATGACAATGCCGGTAGGTCTTCACCACTTTGATGTTTGATTTTAATTTTTAATTGTAATTGCTTTGTTTTGCTTGGACTAACATCTTGTACTAAAAGTAACGTTGGCATTTGTGCCACAGACTAACTATATTTGAGCCCACAGTAAACGTCGTAGAATGTTTATAATTTTTTTTCTTCATAGAACAGTATTTTAAATTTTGTTGTGTATTAGTGTTGCTGGTATAGCATTTATAATTTTATATTTAATATAATTTATAAATTAACTTCAGAATTTCAAGTGCTATATGTTACAAAATTATTCTACCGGTATACTTATTATTCCTTGGTTCGTTTTTATTCACTATATTACTTTCGTTGTCATATTCATTTTGTATAAACGCTGGCAGGTAATGAATGTCTGTAGTACAGGTTTAGTTTAATAATTGTTGTTTTTTTGTTTTGTTTTAGCGCTTTTAGTTTAAGTTTTTTTTCTTTTTTATTGTTATCATTTAATTAGTTTGTAGTTTTTTTTTGTAAAAATAACATGTCTTTAGGTGAGAGTGATCATAATCGAAGTTTCTCATCCTTCTCTTCAGCATCCGATGTATTGAGTAGTAACAACAGTTTTGTAAGCGTACCATCTTTAAAAGAAACTCTTGACTCCCATTTTATACGGTTTTTAGTAATAACATTCATGCAATTTTAGTTTCGGAATCATGGTTAAACCCATGTCTGCCATCTGTTTCCTATTCCCTTCCAGGATTCCACTTAATACGCAACGACCGGACTGTTCGGGGCGGTGGTGGTGTTGCTGTTTACATTCGTTCTTATATTCCATTTTCTATAGTTCGTCTATCACCTCAATCTCAAAATCAGAATGAAGCGGAATACTTATTAAATGAAGTTCACCTGTCGCACACTAAATTACTTCTTGGTGTTTTTTACAGCCCTTCTTCTTCAGTTGACTATTTTACAACATTGGATAGCCTCCTTGAAGAGCTTACTCCACTTTACACACACACTGTGTTAATGGTTGACTTTAATACCTGCCTACTTAAAGAAAATGCCCGGTCCCGTCGGCTTAAATCTCTGGTTGAAGCAGCTAATTTAAATATTCTTCCCCTTTCTGAAACTCATTTTTTTCCTAACTGCATCCCTTCTCTCCTTGATTTGGTTATTGTTTCTTCTCTCGACCATGTTGAAAAATATGGTCAATGTGCTGCTAATGCCTTCTGATATCACGGTCTTTTATTTCTTTCTTATAAAATAAGACCACCTAAAGCCAAATCAAGGATACTTCTGCAGCGTAATTTTGTGGAAATGGATTTGGACAAATTACGAGAAGATGCTGTGAATACGGATTGGAGGGCCGTAACAAGCGCTTGTACTGTTGACGAGCAGGTATCAGTATTTAACTTGCTCCTTATTAAGATTTACGATGTACATGCTCCTGTTCGTCCAGTTCGTGTACGCCATCCTCCAGCCCCATGGTTAACCGAAGACCTTAAGAAACTTATAGCGAAAAAGAATGCTGCAAAGACCAGACACAAGTCAGATCCTACAAATGACATGATTCGGGAAAAGTACAGGATCCTACGTAATCAATGCAACAAGTTGTGTTAGAGACTTACGACGACGCCACATCCATAAATCTGTTCAAAACGAAGATCCAAGCCATGTTTGGAAATTCCTAAGGTCTCTTGGAGTTGGGAAATCATATTCAAGCTCGATTCAAAATGATATAGATTAAAATTTGCTTAATCAGCACTTTTCTTCTGCTTCTTGCACTGATAATGTTGCAAAGTCAACTACAACTCAACTTTCAACGTTACCCACTCCTGACTATCCTCCATTTGTGTTTAGGCAATTTGCAGATTGTGATGTTAGGAGAAACATACTCTCTATCCATTCTGACGCTGTCGGAAGTGATGATATCAGTCGTAAAACGATTATTCCCTTACTTGATATATTAACACCTATTATTACCTTTATCCTAAATTTTTCTATATCCACATCCTCCTTCCCTTCCCAATGTTAATATGCCCAAATAATTCCTTTGCCCAAAAAAGCTAATCCTTTGAGTTATTCCGAGTATCGTCCCATTTCCATTCTTCCTTTTCTGTCCAAAGTCCTAGAACGTCTTGTCCAACAACAATTAAATTCATTTTGCACAAAAAATGATATCCTCAATTCATATCAATCCGGATTTAGGCCGGGACACAATACGACCACAGCATTATTAAAAATCACTGACGACATACGTTTCGGAATGGCTAACCGCCAAGTGACAGTAATGGTGTTGCTGGATTTCAGCAATGCCTTCAATGATGTAAATCATGATATACTAATTGGTGTACTGCGTTCTATTAACATATCTCCAACTGCAATTGCCTGGTTTCGTAGTTACTTATATGGACGTCGCCAACGTGTTCGGGTACAAAACAGAATGTCTTCGACATTGTGGCAATCTGGCGTTCCACAAGGTGCCGTGTTATCTCCTCTCTTATTTGCACTCTTCATAAATTCTATTACCTCCAGAATATCTTCTCTCTACCACTTGTATGCTGATGATCTCCAGATATATCTACAAACAACCATAGAGGATCTGCCCAAAAGCAATTTGTGATATAAACAAGGACTTAGCGTGTATTCTTGACTGGAGTCGATCTTATGGGTTAACTGTTAATCCGATAAAATCCAAAGCTATTATTATTGGTAGTTCAAGAATAATCTCCAAATTAAATAAAACTCAGTTAAACCCTATAACATTTAACGGTGTTCAAATTTCTTATGATGTAGTGGAAAACTTGGGAATCTTGATAGATTCTAATCTTTCTTGGTCTCCTCAAATCAATGCAGTGTCTCGTAAAATGTTTGCAGCTTATGGTTCACTCTGAAGAATGAATTACTTCTTACCCATCTCCACCAAAATTATGCTTACCTAATCTTTACTGCTCCCCATTCTCGATTATGCTGACATAAGCTATCTAGACATTACCGAGGAGCAACTTAACAAACTTGAGCGACTCCAAAATCTATGTATAAGGTTCATATTTGGACTTCGTAAATATGACCATGTATCAAAATACCACACTAAGCTCAAGTGGCTTCCAATCCGTTTTCGTCCGAATACTCATATCCTTTCTACTCTCTACTGCGTTTTATTTAATATATCAAGTCCTCCCTACCTTAAAGAATGTTTCCAATTTCTCAGCTCCTCTCACAAACTTTCCCTTCGATCCTTAGAAAACTTTTCCCTTCTATGTCCCTTGCACTCTTCTACATTTTACAGTATCTTTTTCAGTCCTTGGAGTTAAGCTTTGGAATTCCTTACCATCAACTATAAAACGTGCTCAACAATAGACTCCTTTAAAAACCAAGTTAAAAAACATTATCTTTCCTTCTAAATCATCCCTCCTCCTTTTATCTATTCCTGTCGTTTTATGATCACTAGTCTGTCAATTAAGTAAATTCCGGCATGTTTATTAAATTTCTTTTATATTTATAGATTACAATATTATTTATAGTGCACTCTACCCATTACTTAACTTTTCACTTATTTTTATTTCCTATTTAGGTTTTCTGGAAGAAATTGCTGCATAGCAATAAGACCGCCTTTTGTTTTTCTCTTTGTTTGTTTCTCGTTATGTTGTATTTTTTAGTGTTCAATAAAGGGTATTTTATTGTATTGTATTGTATAAAAAATGTCTATACATTAACTTATTGAGTGAATAAAATATGCTACTTTGACAACCCACACATTATGCCATCTTTATGTAAAGTATGACTACAAGGTCTGGTTAATAAGGTCAAAATTCACAACAGTGTAGGTGTTTTAAGATTATAATGATGTGAAAGTAAATGCGTAGGCGCGCCTTCTTGATGACTAACTATATAATCCATAAATTTCTTTCAAAACATATTCATTTAAGGTGCCACAATAAGGTCTAATTAAAAGATGTATGTTATAGCAGAATTTAAAGCACTTTTTGACCAATAACTGAATAAGCTTTAGAATTAAATGACAATAAAGTCGTTCAATTTGTAAGCTGTAACTAGGAATAACTGTTCATTGAATGAATTCGTACAGCAGTTACATAGCCTATATACATCCCACACCTGGGTACAGGCCTTCTATTACTTCTGAGGGTTTTAGGACAAGAAAGTGTCCACCATGCTGCCTCAATGTATGGTGGTGGACTTCACAAGATGATTTATTTTATTTTCCGCATGATAATTCCTTTTCTAATGAGCAGGTAGTTGGGTACTTAAAATTGCAATTTTTCACTGACACCAGTGGGGTATTGAACTGAACCTGTTTGCATGTTGTGAAATTGACAACCAGTGCTAGGCCCCCGAGCTACTGCAACTCTCATTAAGACACACATAATTTTTTATATAGTATAAGGGTGACAAACAAGCACACAGTCCACCTGATAATAAGTGGTTGCTGTGGGATGATGGTAATTGAAAACAGAAGATCTATGGGGGTTTTCAATCTGGATAATGAGGACATCCACGACTTTATCTCCCATAAGGATGGCGTCACTTTGTAATGAGGTGGAATATTTGAGATTTTTTTATAGTATAAGGGTGACAAACGAGCACACAGTCCACCTGATGGTATGTGGATATTGTGGCCCATAGACATCTACATCTATCCTCAATTATGAATCAAAACATAGATGCATTGTCACCCCTGAGGGCTGAGATGGAATACCCCATATCCAGTAATAGAAATGTCTAGTTCTCTGCACTCACCATATGAAACACAGCATTGTTAAGCTGCTATTTTACGCGGGTGTTCTGTGAGTGCACGGTCTTACCCCAGTCAAGCCGACCCATTCATGGTACAACTATATTATTAGTGTAACCGCAATATGGCTCTATCACATAAAAGTTATTTAAAATTAAGCAGTGAGTTATGAATGTGATAGTAGTAGCATTAGGTTTAAATGTGTTATTTGACTACTATATATATATTTGTGAACATGTTTATACATGGTAGAGCCATGCTGCTGTTATATTAGTAGTATAGTTGTAGCACGAATGGGTCGGCTCGACCAGGCAAGGACCATACTCTCTCACAGAATACCAGTGTAAAATAGTAGCTTAATGATGCTGTGTTTCATATGGTGACTGTAGAGAACCGCAGATCCTTTTTACGGAAATGAGGCGTTCCATCTTAAGCCTCACGGGTGACAACACATCTGATATCCTATAAAAAAAGAAGAAAAAAAAAGAATATATACATATATAGTAGTCAAATATATATGAATTACTTCTAACACAAACATTCTAACTTTACTTTTAATGGTTAAAAGGGGTATTGGTAATGCTAATAGCATTACTAGTATTTTTTATTTTATTTTTTAATAAAATTTTAGCATTCAATAACACAAAACTATTTTGATAGATAAGTCTCTCTTCTTACCCCTTGCTTAAAGGTAATTGTGTTGATATAACACATTATGTAAGCATGCACACAATGAAAAAGATAAGATAAAATGTCAATGCTCCTTGAAAAATAAGATTTATCAACTAATACATTTATACAATTCATAATATGGCAACTTTCAAAATTAAATTAACCATTAAAATTCAGGATATTTTCTAAGCCTGAAGTTATTAGTATTTTTCTTTCCTATATAATAATGATAATGGTGCCAGATGTACTTATATTTTCTTTATGATGTATAATAAACATTTGTTATAATGATACAGAGAAGAGAAATAAAATTAGATTAATTGTTAATATTATTATATTTAAGTTTAATTATCTTCGGAGGATCAATATCAAATACATTGCTTCTAAACAATTGAGTCTCCAGTTGTCTAAGATTACTTCTATTGTTTTTCAGAGGGGATGTCAATTTAGGTTGATCAATTTGCTTTAAAAGTATTCTTTTCACTGGCTTCCATGGTATGTTATGACCATATAAACCGTTTCTTTGCCTCCACTAACAAATTACAATAAGAAAGTTATAACATTTTATTACTTAATGATAATTATCAAGACTCAAATGACTGATTACTCAAATGCTACTCAATTTTGGGGTATGTTCCAAAATAGAACCCAGTGTACTGTCCAATGCAAATGATGTCATGAATTGACGCTACATTACTGATTCGTTCCAAAACATAGGACAGTATATGATGTCATACATTTACGCCATAATGGAAGTGTTGGCGATTATTTTGTCATTTTGTGCTCCAAAAATCATGATATCTTCCTAATGGAGATAGCAGCAATTATTCTATAATTTTTTGTATTTGAATAAATAAAAACAAATTCTGGCATGCCTCATTCAGCGCACACACAATTAAAAATTGTTTTATTGTGGCCGAATATCAGACGCAATATGGCAGCGGCACGCCAGGACAATGTATTGTCAATTGATGACGTCATTTGCATTTGCCAGTGTAGTGGGTTGTATTTCGGAACATACCCTTAATGGCATCATTATGTATGGTGGTGTCACAATCACTTAGACTTAAAGTGATAGAGGCAGCATGATACTTATCAAGTAATATTGAGTAGTGTTTATGTATTTCGGCAAAAGTCAATCAATAAAGATGATACTGGTACTGATATATTATAAAAACCTCGTCACTTGAATTTTTATAATGCTTGATTTGTTAAATAATAACTTCTTTTAGCATCCAGCAATATTTTATCAAATCTTCAGGTTGTGTCAAAGACATTAAATTTTCAAGAATCTTATGTGCCAACAAAGCGAAGCACATTTTTTTTCAATATTGAAGTTATTCGTAAAAATCACGTCATCATTATTACAGCCTACCAAGCCAATTGTTGAACATTAATTGTTTTTTATTATTTGATATTTAATTATACAGCATTCTATATAACAGACATACATATTAATAATGATATTAATTACCTTATCAGATGATGATCCACTGGATTTCTTTCCGAGATTATCATAAGCTTTTTCTTTAGCTGCCTTAATACCTGCATCTACAAAAGCCTCTGCAGTTCTTTGTCCTTGGTATGGTGTATGCTTGCTACCAGTAAACACCTTGATAGTTGGGAATCCTGTGACTCCATACTTCTGAGCAAACTCTTTGTATTGATCTGCATCTACTGCTCCAACTTTTATGATGCCCTAAAAGTATTATAATATATATTATTTTGTTTATATAATTCTATAATTAATAAGAGGGAGCACAATAAGTTTCATTTAGTTGCGAAGTGATTTACAATTTACCTTTAATGCTCGAGCAGCCTTTTTGTATTCAGGAACCAGATTTTTACAGTGCCCACACCATGGAGCGAAAAATTCAACTATCCATACTTCATCAGATTTTGTGACGAGTCTTTCGAAATTACTCGGAGTTAATTCTACCACATCAGAAGATGAATCATACAAAGCATAGGATCCCGCGACAAACAATAAAATACCTGTAAAAATTATAATTTTATAGCAAACGCCGGTTAAATTAACTTATGTACCGTGAAGCGGAATTTTATGCTATAATTTATGTTATTAAAACATACCAAGTGTGTATGAGTAAAACATTTTCGTTAATTTAACGCTTATATGATTTTATATATATATATACAATTTAAAGCGTTATGGACCACTGATAAATCTGAAATAATGAAAATACGTCAATAAAAGGAACCTTCCCAATTCACAAACACGTCAACTTTACCGGAATTGAAAAGGTTAAACAACCACTACAAAGTTCTGGAGTTGTCAATGGATTTCGTGTATTCTCATCATTGGTGAATTCATTTTGCGCGCTACTGTTAGCAGTTTCACAGACAACTAATTTATACCAGCATAGTATACTAGTATCCAAAAAAGTAATAATTACGTTTACCAACGAAATTTTACCCATAATGAACTCCATATTATGTGCTGAAATAACAAAAGAAGTACTAGCTGAAATTCATAAGTACATATTGTTTACTTTTTCTAGGAACGTCATAGATTTCAGATAATATTTTTGTACTATTCTGTAAACAATCGAAAAAAAGAAAACGCTTTAAATGTTGTTTAGAGTGTAAAATGAATCTGAACAAACAATTTAAAAAAAATCCAAACTTTGCGGCCGTGAGAAAATATTCAGTAACAAATTTATATCCTCCAGACCAGTTTTATATCACAACGAAAAGAGTGCAACATACATAATCACCGTTTCACCACCTTATTTTGACGGAATTCGAGGGTACTCTCTGTTTTTGTATCATCACATTGTGAGCCGGGAGGTTCGCAACGAGCTTGCAGGGCCACGTTGGAGTCAATGTTGGTACTCATCAAGATTTATAAAGTAAAACTGTTCCTTTAATTTTATTTTAAGCCATTATGGAAAGTATTTTAGTAGGTTTAGTAAGTAGCTCGGCAAAGTGCAACATTAGAGTCAATGAGAACAGTAAGGTCTAACTTCTCTAATGATTTATCTAATCAAAAACGCCCGAATATTTAAAAAAAAGAATAACTGCATTAGACAACTGCAGGATAAAAGTAGCAAATATTTCACAGAAAATATATTTGAAAAACAAAGGAGTCTTATCGTACTCTTAGAAGCTACCTTATCTACTTATCAGTGCAGGATGAAAGTACAGAGCCTTGTAGATAAATAGATGATCTGCTATCAAAACAAAGAACAAATATTAGAGCCTAGAATTGGAGGTCAATGTTCTAGTCTAGTCCGACGTATGTGCAAGTGTGCCTGGGATTGTCTTTTAGTCTACAGTGAGTCGAGAAGAAGGCAACTAATCTGAAAAAGTGCCATAAATCAAGGGCTACCAGGAGAAGGCTCATAGCCGTGCTGAACACTGAAGCATAGATGGTAGCTTGAAGTAATAGGAAGTGTGCTACGATGCCACGTGTCCAGTGCAACGATGAACCTTGTAAAGCTAGTAGGCTCACAGGATCTGAAGACTGCAAACAATATCTGCTCGGGAGCGAATGGACGGGGTACTTAAAGACCATGACGACAACGTGAAGTAGAGGTGGCCGAAGATAGCATGTTACGTGTTCACATCATGACAGTGTCACCAATTAGGCCGTAAAAGAAATGAGGAGATCTCCCGCTGGACGAGGTGATCAGCCTGGGAGGGGCAAACGCTCCGTGTGATTTAGGCTTCGGTGCGTTTTTTCTTGTGGCGCGATGACAGCGCCACCACACTTATTCCAAAAAGCATGGTCTTTGAATATAGCATGGGACGAAACACTGCCCCTCGAAATTATACATGACTGCCTACAAATTTTAAACAAATTACACAATTTCATATACCTATAACATTCACATGGCTTTAGCGATGCCTCCGAAAAGGCTTACTCGTTTGCCTTATATTGTGTCACCGTAAATAAAGGTGTGTGTGTGTATCTTTTTATTATAGAATAGGGTGACAAACGAGCACACAGTCCACCTGATGGTAAGTGGTTGCTGCGGCCCATAGACATCTACATCTACCCTCCATTAAAAATCAAAATGCAGATGCGTTGTCACCCGTGAGGACTGAGATGGAATGCCTCGTTTCCTGTAAAAAGGGTCTCCGGTTCTCTACACTCACCATACGAAATACAGCAGCATTAAGCTACTATTTCACGCTGGTATTTTGTGAGAGCGTGGTCCTTCCCCGGTCGAGCCGACCCATTCGTGCTACAACTATACTACTAATATAACTGCAGCATGGCTACCACGTATAAAATAGTATCTTAGTTGGTCGCAGCTAAAACGAAAACAGCACCATTAAATAAAGTGGCTACACATCCTCAGTTCTGTATCGTGGAAAAACGGCTACAACAGGTTTCCTTCGGCCCGACGGATAGTCTTAATAATTACACATGTTAAATTAAGACAATGAAATCATATGAATTTAGCCACGACTTCAATCATATCAAAACTAAGGGGCAAGTGCATATCCTATATTTTTAAACGAGCAATTCTTGTATATATATATATATATATATATATATATATATATATATATATATATATATATATATATATATATATATATAGTACCGGAACTTCGGAAACGGCTCCAACGATTTTCATAAAATTTATTGTCCAGGGAGTTTCGGGGGCAATAAATCGATCTAGCTAGGATTTATTTTTAGAAAACGTCTTTTTGTCCGTGTTTTCAGGCAATGAAAAACTGCTAAAATATAAGAAGGTAAATTTTGACACTGTGTTAATGATCGTAATAGCTCAAGTGGATAGCGAACGGTCGCGAAATCGTAATGCGTTGGTTCGCGTCCTGTCTTCGGTTCGACTTTTTTCCTTTTTTTTTCAAGTTCACTTCTTTTGTGAGAAAATCTATTTTGCTCTTTTATTTGGTATTTTTTTAAATACGAAAATTTTAATTAAACTAATTGCACTCATGATTTTTTATTCAAATAAATTTAACCCAGTAGCAAGTGTACTTGTCAGTAATTACCTAGCGAGTACCGCCGGGTTAAACAACTTCACAGTGGCATGTTCCCGTGTAAACTCATCCATGGATTATTTACAAGAATGGTTAACTAATCATGGCCTCTCTTTATCTGTGGCCAAGAGTAGTGTGGTGATCTTTTCCCGCCAAAGGCGAGTTCCCGATATATCTGTTGTATATGATAAGCAACCTATTCCAGTTAGAGGCAATGTTAAATTTTTGGGAGTTATCCTTGAATCGAAATTGGCCTTCGGTCCATACATTGAATATATAACACAAAAATGCGAAAAAAACATAAATATTCTTCGGTCTTTGTCTGGTGTTTGGTGGGGGTCCCATCCTTTTTCTCAGAAATTACTGTACAATGCTTTAATACGAAGCCACCTTGACTATGGATGTTTTCTGTTCGAGCCTTGCAATAAATCATCCCTTAAAGTAATGGACAAAATTCAATCGAAATGCCTTCGCATTATTACAGGGGCAATGAAATCCTCACCAATAAATGTTCTTCTGGTTGAGTGCGTAGATCCTCCTTTAAGATTAAGAAGGCAATACCTTTCAGACAGATTCTTATTTAAGATCTGCCAACTTTCAGATCATCCCCTAATCCCTAAATTGCATCTTCTTTCAGAGTATATCTCATCTGACCGATACTGGACCCATAAGGACTCTCCCTGCTTGTTCAAAAGTTTTGTAATTTTTCTTCAGCTTCCTTACCCAATCTTTCAAGGTAAAATAAATCCACTCTTTGATGTTCCTTACGAGGCTATTGTTTACCAACCCGACATTCATCTAGATCTAGGTATAGAAAAGGATTCTCCAATGGCAAATTTGAAATTAAAAGAAATTATAGGAAACACCTTTAAAGATTGGCTTGTCATGTACACAGACGCTTCAAAACATTCTGATGATGACTATACTGGAGCTGCTGTTTGGATTCCTAAGTTCAAAATCATTCTCAACTTTAAATGCCCCTCACTATCCTCCACTTTTACCGGTGAAGCAACTGCAATCAGTGAAGCTTTGTTATATGTAGAGTCACATAATCTTAATAAAACAGTTATTTTCACAGATTCAAAAAGTTGTTTGTTAGCTATTTTGTCCAATCAATTCCATAACAAACATAAGTTTCCACTAATTCTTAAAATAAAAAATACCCTATTCAGATGCCATCTTAAAGGAATCCATGTTTCAGTGGCCTGGATTCCAGGCCACAGTGGTATCCATGGTAACGAAACAGCTGATGTACTCGCTAAAAATGCAATTGCTAATGGCATTCTACAAAATTTAATTTACTCACATGACCTAATTTTGCTAGCTAAAAGGAAACTGAATGAAAATTGGAATAAATTATGGGAAGTTTCCAGAAATGTTAAAGGTAAGCACTATGCTGCCATCCAAGAGATTATTCCTCCCAAGCCTTGGTTCTTTAAATTTAACAAAGCAAATAAACATGCAACTTCAATCATTTGTAGATTAAGAATTGAACATGCTTGTACACATGCACATCTGGCAAAAATCAGAGTAAGGGATAGCTCATTGTGTGAATGTGGCTTAGATGAAGGTTCCACAAACCATATTTTTTTCAACTGTCCCAAATTATCCTCCTCCCTTTACGATTACCTTCCTCCTTATATTCCTCGACCTATAGATTTTAATTCTCTTTTAACATATACCAGTACTCCTTTTGTGTATATTTTATGTGATTTTATTAATACTAATAATATGAAACTTTAAATCCTTGTCACTTTTAACATATGGGTAAGAGTCTAAGACCTGTGTTTGTCATATTTGTTCTAGGTAATTCAACAAATAGATTTGTCAAAATTCTCGGAGGAAAACTGAATCCTTGTATTATCACAGACTCTTATTTTAATTAAACTCATAAGCTTTCATTTTCTACTCAATACGTCATTGGCGAATTTTATCAAACCGCCACAAAAGAAAGAAGAAGAAGACTTAAAGATAGAGTAAGTTCAATCTGCATAGATTGGACTATTAAAATAATAATAAAAAGCTGAAGGTATCGTGGTATCGTGGAAGGTAGGTGTCCCAATACTGACATTGGAATGGCAGTCACCTCAGTCCCCCGTGACCATGGGTGCTATAAAGCACCTGAAATGTCGGGAA